GGCCCACGGGCAGCTCCAGAGCAAGCACAGTCTCACTGGAGCGTTTCCTCGTAACAGGAAGCCACGCTGGTTGCCTCCAAGCAAACCAGCTCTCCCTGACAGCTCCTGCCCATTTATTTCACAGAGCTTGGAAAAGCTGGAAAGGACTTAACAAGGATAAGCAAACGGACCTCTCAATACCACGCTTGCTGTGTTAGAAAAGAATTCATGATTCCTGGAGACACAGGAACCAGGGAAAAGGTTCAGTGCACTGACCCCAAGTTGTTCAAATCTGAGCCCAAACAGTGCCCGTTCTGTTTAAACCTGAGTCTCCAAAACATGGATTGGAGCGTGGAAGATAATAATTGCTATATGAATTCATACTGATTTGCCCTGTCAGCCCAGTTTGTTCTGCAGCCAATGACATCTGCAGCCTTGCTATAAGGATAGCAGTGCCTTTGACAATGAGCCTTTTGGAAGCCTTTTTTGTGTGTGTGCTGTAGCCACAAGCAAAGCGAAGCATTTACAGGGATGAGGAGGACAAAAACCCTTCCAGTCTCTCCTTCACTTTGAATTTTGCTGCTTCTAAAATAATTTAAGACATCTATGCTCCAGAGAAGCTACCCCAATCTTCCTTCCTTAGATTTTTCACAACAGGGACAAAGTTTACACTGAGAACACTCTCTGGGAGCTAATATTCAGTGGGTGTGACTGTGTGGATGACTTCTCTGCAAGGACGAGATGCTCAATCTCGTATCTCCTTGTAGTTCTTATCCACCGTGGAAAATCGTATGAGGTGGATTTCAGGGGGCCTGGGCTTCCTGTCGTCCCACAGGTACTCTGGGGAAAGCACTTTGGAGGGTTTGTGAGACAGGAAGTGCCTGTTGAGGTGACTTTCTTCCTGCCAGGCTGCCATGAGCCCATTGGCTTTGTCTGCCAGCACAGTCATGTGGCAAGTCCTGGTGAACTCATAAACCTTCTCCACCAGCCCCCCAAACACAGCCCCTCCATAGTAGAAGTCTCCCTCTTCCTCGGGGATATAGGCTGCTGAGTTGCTCCTCCTCTCATAAGGGAACTGACTTCGAGGGACTTTGAAATAGCCCGGGTGCATGGCTGCTACCATGTCACCCAAGGTCTCTGCCCCCCAGGGGTTGTAGAACACCATGTCGATGTCCAGGCAGAAGAGGTAGTCCACCTCCCGATGGCTCCTCTCTGCTATGTGCTTGTTGATGTTCTCCATCCTGCGCATGGAGATCTCTTGCCAGCTGGAGTATTTCTGGATGGGGACAATGACAAGAGTGCGGCCAGGCTGCAGCGGGACGCTGGGGATCGTCTCAGGGTTGTCAGTGAAGATGTAGTAGGTGACCCGATAGCCCTTCATGAAATGCTTCTCTGCTGACTCGAGGAAGCGGCCCACAAACCTGGTGTATCTGTGCAGACACAGCACGTGGGCAGCACAGCAGGGCAAAAGGGAGGTGGGGAATTATGGGGGCACTTGAACAAATGCAAGGAGGCAAGGTAAGGTAGGGTATAGGATAGCACCAAGAACAAGTGGCTTATCCCTGCTGTGACCTGCCAGCCCCTTATCTATAGGTGCAGCCCTCAAAGCAGAGGCTGGCTCTCCAAGAATACTGACTGTGCTTTAGGTGTCTTGAGTGCTGAATCTGTTATCATGTAGGCTTACATCATCAGAGATGTGACACGTGGCCATAAACGACCACAGAATGGGACAGACTGCAGCTCTGCTGAGCACAAGAAGAGCCAAAAGAGCCTTTTCAGGGAGGAACTACAGCAAGAACTATGTTCAATGAGAGGTTCACTCACCTTCCAATGGCAAAGGCTGTCACCCCGATGGTGAGATTCAGAGGCCTGTAGACACTATCCAGGATTTCAGAGTTGAAGGTGCCTTCCCAGATGATGGGGGCCAACCATGGTGTGAGGGTCAGCACATCCTGGCGCCTGAGGGAAATTAAATGGCCTATTAGTGAAATTGCAAAGAGACACTGTGGAGGCAGAGAGAAGAGTGTGTGTATCATCATTACACTCTTTATGGAAGATATTACATTCAGACCACTGTCCCTGCCCTCCTGTTTAAGGTCATGGACATTTCTGCTCCTGGGATGAAAATCAGCACCATTTAGCAAAGCAAATTAGCCAAAGCTCTAGGCTCCACTAAAGTCTCATTTAAGTCCTTAGGACTTGTTTGCTGCAGAAAGTTTAATGACCACTGAGCTCGCAAAATGGAAGCCAGTGCATATTTGTTATCAGTCTGATGCAGATTGCTACATATAGACTTAAAATGCAAGTAATAATATGAAAACTACTATAAAAATACCTCATTGCCACTGTGTTATTAAAACACAGCTTGCAGCATGACAGTCTATTTTACCAGTATTTATACACAGCTTTAACACATTCAGATATAATTTAAACTTCTATTTAAGAGCCAGCATTCAAATTTGTAACAAAATTATAGAAATGATTAATATCTCCTGTGCAGGTAGTGAAAATTCAAAATACATGCAGCAGAGTCTGATCATGCCTGATCACAGCTATGCAACCCTGTTTCAAATCTCTTCTGTGTTTTCAGGATCTCTGGATTCCCTCCCCCAGAAAATGTAATTTAGGATGCCTATTTCACCCTAGTCTGCTCACATTCCTCCCCCAGATGGTGATCTAGAGCACTCAGCTAATGAAAATTGACTTGCAGACCACTGGGTCACACTCAGGGCTCAGCCCCAGGGAGACCATCTCCCACCTGACACACTCCCAGGGCAAGAACAGCACCAGAAGCAAAGCGACGGACCTACAGGGAGTGTTCTGATGGCTGAGGCAGTGCTATATTTTCAGCCTACATCTAATAGCTTCGGACTGAGTGGACAGGAGAGCAACTATTTCATCTCCTTCTATGGTAAGGCTTAAAGGATTAAAATATGAAAATTATAGGAGAAGAATTTGATTTGTAGAATATGTATTAACTGAGCTGTTCTCTTTCTGGGTCAGTTATTCTTTTTTATGGAGAGAGAGGGAGAAAGAAATCTAAGTTTAGTCTCCTAAGCAGGTTTTTTTTCATTTGATTTTAAGGGACTGTTCTGGGTTTCATAATGACTCATTCTTATGCTATGCATCCCCTCAGTGCATGCTAGAAAGCTTCCTTCAGAAAGTTATGGCACTAAAGGCTAAAGATTCTCTCCTTATTTACTTCAATATACACTAGCTGGTTTCACACATTAATATATTCCAGTAAGGAAAAAGAAATAGGCCAAGCATGCCCTGTCAAAAATGGAAAGCTGCAATGCATGTTTATTAATATTATGCATTAAAATAGTGGCTGCTGAAGAGAAGCTGCTAGAGGTGAGACTCAGGACATGGGAGCTGGCTCACAGGAGGCTGCTAACGAACACGAGCTGACTTGGAGCCTGAGTCATTTCTTGGCTGCAGCTGCCTAAAACCTTCCCTGGCTGTTTAAACTCACTGGTCTGACTGCCTCTCAGGCAGACTGGACTGTGTGAAGGCCTACAACTTGTTGCAGGGTAAGATCCAGCAGGTTAATGGAAATAATTGTGAAGGTCATGCGTGGCACCTGCTTGATTTGGCCCTGAAATGGATTCAAAACTCACCCACAGCTGGTTACAGATGTGATGCAGACTCAGAAGGCCTTCCTCACTTCCTCCTCACATTCCTTCCAGCTATTGCATCTTCTAGCTCAAAAAAAAGTCCCTGATGGCAACTTAGGCTGAGTATGTGCTAATGTGTTAACTGGGAATTGCCAGTAGGTATGTTAGCAAGCATGCAGTGATTAAACTAATCTTACAGTCACATAGGCAGCTGTAGATATATACCCACACACCCAGGTCTTTCATGGAATGAGGTATCGTGCAGTGCACACCAAGCTATTGTAATCGTAAGTTCAACAGAGCACCCCAACTAAAGTCAACAGCTCTAACTTACAGGACCAAGAGCCAAAGGACAAGAAACAAATGAAGAAACTTACTGTGGAGCCAGTGCTCTTGGCTGTGGATAAAATAATCTGCAAAAGAAAAAAGGGATATGCACTGAATAATAGATGAATATGCCAGGAAGAGAGGAACGGCAGTTTAAAGGTCAGGAAACAGAAGGGCAGCACTTACTGGGGGAAAAGCTGGATCGGCTTCTCTTCTCTGTACTGGAGTTTCATGGAGCTGCATGATAAGAGGGAAAAAGAAAGGACTGTAATGTATTTCTTAAAACAAGGACACGGTTCAGCTTCAGGATCTGCTGCTGTACTCACAGCTGTCCAAATTCTCGCTGCAGCTGCCACGGGCACTGCTCTTACTGACACAGAACAAGGCTCTGCCTGCTCCCAGCTGGGATATGGAAGCCATGGCGCAAAGCACGGTGAGATCCTGCACCCGTGCATGTGTGTGTTTAGACCCACATGACAAACTCGGCGCTACGCTGGACACTTACAAGATTTCGGGGCAAGGAAGGTAATATAGGAGGTAATGCACCTTCCTGTTCCCAACGGTCATCCTGTAAGCAAGAGGAAAAAATACATTTTAAAGACAGGTAGTCTTGAAAGGGATCTTCCTACGATTCTCCTGGATCTCCCCAGAATTTGGCACAGGTTTTGGGAAGTAACTCTATCTAACCGTTTCTCTACTTTACCCATTCATGTGGGACATAGTGTCTTCACCCTTTAACATAATGTACTGATGCCAAGACATAAGCAGGATGCTCAAAATAAAAGGAACCCAACAGCATCCAGCTCGAAACACAAGGACTAAGTATTATCATCTACATCAAATGGTCTATAAAACGTAGATTTACATGTTTTCTAAATGCGCACACAAATGGAGACATATAAAACAATGTTCAAAAAGGGTAAATATATGCTATACACTTGTATGATATATTGATACTTCTCACCACTTTAAATGCTGCAAATGTCCTCAGTGTTTGAAAGGCACAAACTTTCCTCAGTTACCTTGGAACAAGTTTCGACTGTTTGAAGAGACAGATAATCATCTCTTTAAGGCCTGAGCTGAAGTGTGACTGGACTATTCTGTACTTGAACAATTGTTTGAAAGTCAGATGTGGAGTTAGCAACCTCATTTAGATACAATTGGTCTTATTTTTTTCCTCTTTCTTCCATTTCTCTCTTTAAAGGCTTCTTCCTCTACTACTGCTTTCTTGTATTTTATACTAATTACTTTCTCACAAAGTCTAACAGCGACTTCTCACAAAGTGAACTGCCTATATTATTCAATCATTACAAATTTTACTACAGTATCAGTTGCAGCCAGAAAGCTCATGCTATAAATAGGACCAAGCCTGTCAGCAAAAGCTTACCAGATAAATGTGGTAACAACAAATAGACACACAAGTGACCCCACCACTTTCTGGGAAATCATGTCTTCTAGAGCAGGAGAACGGGAAATTCTCACTTCCCGTAGCTTTCAATCTACAAAGAGTAAAACAAAAGGGAAACTAGCTGTAAGTATCTCACTGTAAGAAATGGATTATTTTACTACGAGAGCACATGGTGCTGCAAGTAGTTTCAATTCTCTTGCTTCTAGCACTGTTTCAATTCTCTTGCTTTTCTCAAATTAGGAACCTAGAAGGAACCAGATTGCAAGGGTCCGGCTACTTATTCAGTCACCAAGGCTCTTCATGTAAAACACTTGACACATTTGGCTGCTTTGCAGTTACACAGTTAGGAGGACTGGGAGTCTTTCTGCTTTAATTCTACTTTCTGTAAATGCCTTTTACTCTCTAAAACATACGCCATTCTGCAGCTTAACAAGAGCAGTTGACTCAATCATACCAGGTGCTAAATGGAGCGAATACTGTTATTGCTCTAGCTGATAAACACCAACTTCCTCCAAACAGGAATTGCCAGAGCTGGATCCTACCAAATGGGTTTGTAGGAGAAAAGCAAACTTACATGAGCAAGGTAACATTAGATGAGAACAATAACAGATATGAGGCAACAATATTTCGCTAAGTCGGAAAAAATACTCCCCTAGCAACAGCTGGAAAAATCAACTTCCCCCAGCTCAGCGGTTTTACCTTGAAAGCTCACTTTAATTCCCACTTTGTTCACAGGAAAGCACAAGTTCCCACAGTGTGGAACACAGGCCACCTGTGACTCACACAGAGTCCTTACACAGGGCCTCTGAGAGGGCCCGTTGCAAATACATTAATTGCTACATTACAGACTACGTTCGTTATTACTCTACGGATGACAGCGCTATGGTACGGGCGAGTTCTCTTACCCTTTTTTGGCATCCTCTGCAGCCACGTTGTTTAACTGCCTTCCTGCAAAGCTTTGCAGGCCTCCGCTGCTAGCGCAATCATCAGTGATAGGAAACCACCTTCTAGCATGTGACTGGCATCTGGAAAAAAAAAAAAAAAAAAAGAGCAGGCGCTACCAGAGGGGGGGGCAGGCACGGGCACCAACTTCCTCCAAACAGGAATTGCCAGAGCTAGATCCTACCAAATGGGTTTGTAGGAGAAAAGCAAACTTACATGAGCAAGGTAACATTAGATGAGAACAATAACAGATATGAGGCAACAATATTTCGCTAAGTCGGAAAAAATACTCCCCTAGCAACAGCTGGAAAAATCAACTTCCCCCAGCTCAGCGGTTTTACCTTGAAAGCTCACTTTAATTCCCACTTTGTTCACAGGAAAGCACAAGTTCCCACAGTGTGGAACACAGGCCACCTGTGACTCACACAGAGTCCTTACACAGGGCCTCTGAGAGGGCCCGTTGCAAATACATTAATTGCTACATTACAGACTACGTTCGTTATTACTCTACGGATGACAGCGCTATGGTACGGGCGAGTTCTCTTACCCTTTTTTGGCATCCTCTGCAGCCACGTTGTTTAACTGCCTTCCTGCAAAGCTTTGCAGGCCTCCGCCTCCACCGCTAGCGCAATCATCAGTGATAGGAAACCACCTTCTAGCATGTGACTGGCATCTGGAAAAAAAAAAAAAAAAAGAGCAGGCGCTACCAGAGGGAGGAGCAGGCACTGGCACTGCCTGGTGCTTCCCCGGCAGGAGGCTGGATTGTGCCTGAAAGGCTTGAGAAAATGTTGGAGATCTCCACTGTCCGGGCTGGGGTGAGAGGTCTGAAAAGGCACTGGTGATTCTTCCACTTTATTCTCTTTGTTTTCTATGCCAGGCTGCAGAAAGTCTTTTCAGTTGCTTTACTGCCTCTTGCAGAAATGCTCATTCGCTGGCCAGCCCATCTGATCGGCTCACGATGAAACAGCACAAAATCCCCCTCGCCGCAGCCGGCTGCCTTCGGGATGGCTCCTGCGTCTGAAAACGCCTCATTCACACTCACCATATCTGTCCTTAACTGAGTTACCCTCTTAGTGCTCATATCCAATGCAAACAAAAATGAAACAGATGGGATTGTTGTTAATGACAGAATCTGCTAACGAACAAAAAACGGGTAAAAACAATTTTAATAGTCACTCGGGTTGCTCAAAGCTGTTCAGAGTTTAAAAGATACATAGCTGAAAGCAGCTGTAACTAAACAAACTTGCACGCCCTTTCAGGACAAAGTATTATCTTATCTTCATATCCTGCCAGAGAAAGCATTCTGCATTGCAGATAAATATCTGGTTTGTAGAACATTTCATAGGAGAATTTTCTTTGCAGATCAGGTATTTCTAAAACTGCATTTCAATTTCTAAAAGAGAGGTAGTAAGCTGAGAGAACAGCATCGCTCAGAAGCTGAACACGGAAAAGAACCTGTGCTGGAAAAGAAGTTTCCTTTCTCAATTCTGTCATTAAACAAGTTACCCTCAACTATTATAACCTTGACTACTGAAAAAGTAGCTCAAGGGCATACACCTTTGATCTGTCTTGGCTAATGTTATTCAGAAATAAAAGATGAGTAAATAAAAGAAGAGAGAAAAATAGGCATTTGGATATCCTAATTACTGAGTGGCAGTTTATTGCAGTGCCACAGAACTTCTGGCAGTCGGAATAACCACACTGAATGTGGCCATGGGTTCAACCCCCGTCCACCTTGTCTCTGACAGCCAGTACCATGTGAAAAATTCAGCAATTCACAATACAGATTATCCTGCCTACAGTGGGAATTTCCTCTTAATGCTCATGAATTGTCGAATGATTAATTATTCTCAGAACAGAATTTACCAAGACATGTCCACAGACTACCTACTTATTCATTACTCCAGCAAATATAAAATACAATCCTTTTTACTTTGTGAGGACTACATTTATTTGTAGAACAGAAAGACATTAGCAAGATTTGACTGGTCTCATGTATAGAGCTGCTTTATCTTCTCAATGGAGTGTTTCCACCAATCTTCCCAGCGTTGAGCTTTTATCAGCTGAGCTTCACTTTCTTCCTTGATCTGGGCAAATTTCTGCTCAAGTTTACATTTGTATTTCTGTACAAAAATAAAATAAAATAAAAAATAAAATAAAATAAAATTTAAAATAAAATAAAATAAAATAAAATAAAATAAAATAAAATAAAATAAAATAAAAATAAACTGTCTTCTATATTTTATGAAACATTAGTCCTTGTGACCTAGGGATACAGCTGTAGGCTTTATAAAGAAAAGTGAGAGAAAGTAAGCTAAATTGATATGACATTGTGGAAATATGGTATCAGCAGCTACTTTTTAAACTATGGTGCTGCTGAAAGGCAGTGTCCTGCTTCTGATCCATTCACTCATTTGTGCTGCTCTACTGAAACAATTTCTTGTTGCAATGTACCTGAGTGGAAGGGCTCCCCTAAAAACCTACTCTGTCTACTTTTGACATCACCACCAAGAAATGGGCATGAGAGAGGGTTTCTACCAGAGTGAATATGGCTTTAAGATCTGAAAACACTGTGTACAGTAAACTTAAACACATCCATACATTCTTCTACAAAACCACCACCACCTGCCCCTTACAAGCAGTCCTTCCCCACAGACCAACCTCATACACTGCATCTCTTGCTTCTACTACTGCTACGTGACCCAGTGTAGTCTTAGCAGTTGTCACAGAGGCAGTTTCCCTGCAAAGAACATCACCTGAAACGCCTGTAAGAGTAGTTGTTGGTATTCCTGGCCAAGTCCTTCAAAAAAAAAAAAACAAACAAAACAGAAGAGTGATTGGAATAGAAGACTAGTTTATTGTCATCGTACTTAAAAACATGATTCATCTTTTGAACTACAAGTCCCCGTTATTTAGAACTACCCTTGATTTAAAATGTCAAGAACTCTGCATAGCAAGTAGAATCCAAATCTTCTGAGTGAAAACATGTCCTACTTTCATACATTTTAAAGTGCTGTGAGTGATAAACAGTAGCTAGAAAAGTGGTATGACAATTAAACAAATGCATTACAGTAGAATACACAATTCATTTTTATATCAAGCCATTCCTGTTCTTTCTTTAGAATCATTATCTACCCAAAAGGCCTTGTAACTAGTCAAATGACATCACTAATGACAATCACAGTATTCAACAATTTGAACAGGTGGAGCAGAAAGCTAGAACAGTACCCAAATTCAGTTTGGAGCACCAAAATTACACAGAAGAGTGTTCTGTATCTCAAATGTTACCTGCTCCCACGTTCAATCAACTGTTCAACTTCACAGGTTTGTAGAGAGAGCCCAGCTTGCTTACGACGCAGTAAGGTGGATATCTTCTCTCTTGGCATTTCAATTTCTGGGATACAGTAGAAGACAGACTTAGCAGCAGCAGAACCATGGCAGTCATGCCATTGTTTTGAAGAAACTGTACTATATGCAGCTTGATGCAGCTTCTTCCCTTTTAAGAAACAACTCTGCATGCATGACTATGCTCGAGCAGAGAGGTTGAACCAGACGAACTCCAGAAGTCCCTCCAACCTCAAATATAACTCAAATCTCTCCACCATTTAAAGCACTAGAGTATACAAAAATCTCTTCTTCTTATTTGAGCCTATAAAAGCACATCTTTCTCCAGTTACCTTTAAAGTTGGGCTAATTGAATTTTGCTCTACCATCTAATAGGACTGTGTTATTAAAATAGTTCTAGTAGAAAGTATTTTCTTGATTCACATAGAAGAAAACTCGATAGAAGAAACCAGAAGCTTTTTTTATTCAGTAAGATATGCAAACACAATAGCATTCATGCAACATTCAGCAGTGAAATTTAAATTGCATAGAAATGTAATTGAAACCTTTGAAAAATGATCATTAAAAATCAGCTCAGTAGGCAATATCGTTAAATCTTGCCAATTATTCAGTAGTGAGCATATGACTACGCAAAACAATTAGCATTGATGCTTATAGCAGAAATCACACAAAATCTAGGAATAATGTGACTATTTCTATTTTGTAGGAAGAGCCTGCTCGTATCCTTGAGAAAGATGCTGAGGCCTGAGCAAGCAAATCTGGACTTACTTGCTAGTTCTACATCATCAATAGTGATGCTTTCATCTAATTCCAGAAGCAGCTTTTCAGTGAAGGCAGCTAGTGCAGAAACAAAGTTCTGAGCACACTCAGTAGCACTGGTCTGTTGGGAAATGGGATACAAGAGAGAGGAATTAATTCCTTTGATCGTTCATCTGCTCTCCTTTTAGACTGCCTCTGAAAGGACTACACAGCCCTTCAACTTTGAGCTTTTGCAGAAGCTACAGATCAAAACATAATGGTTTAAGTGGCAAACAAAAGGCTCTAAGAGTGCAGGGATGTGTAGAGCTAAGAAGAAAGAGACATTACTTAGGTATTTCCAGTATGCTCTGTGAACGTTACAAAAGATCAGTTAGTCCCACAATAAATATGTGAACTTGTACATATACATATGCATTTATACATATACGGATCTTATACTGCTACTTATAACTAATAGTTAAAAGACACTGCTGTCATAAAACTGAAAACATTTTCCATTTTACTTTTGATGGAGAGGAGAAATGCATCCAAGATGTTCTCTTCTTTCCAAACATATTAGGCAACAAGTTCATATTAAGTTTTATAGTCACCTGCATCTTCTGTGTATTGAGATGAATAGCATCAGCTTGGTCTTTTTGCCTTTTTATTTCCTTTCGACACAAAGATTCCAGCTGAAGCAAGTTATCTGGATGTCCCAGAGATGGACGCAATTGGTTTGTGTGCACAGCCTTTAAGAAAACACATAAGTAAAATTACCTTCTGTAGGAAACATGCAATTGAATCATTATGAGAAAAAAGTAAAAATAAGCATTTTATATACAAGTATTCAGGAGAACTTGCTGTGTTCCTTGGCAGACTAAGATAAACCTTGCAGCGCAGTATACGAAACTGCTTAAGTAGCTATTGAAGTCCAGGGCCTCTGATCCCAGCTTGGCTTTTGTTTTCAAAACTTCACAGGTAAAAATCTTTCTTACCAAATATTAAATGAGATATTTATTATATCTGTATTTTCCTTGAATTTGACTCAACATTCAGTGAGACAAAATCTAAAAACTATGTTTTCTGCACATTCTATTTTATGACTCTTATCAGATCTGATAAGATATACTCCTTTTTAAAAGGTAGCAAAGCTACATAATGTCAAATTTTCTGTATGTAACAGAAACTACATAGGTACATTCTCCCTTGTAGTATGTGCTTTGTAGCCATAGCACAATGTTATAGCCCTTAAATAATCTACAGCCTAAGAACAAAAACAACAGATGTTTGTACATGACAACAGAGAGGAAACCCAGTGCTAGAAGCAGTGACAGGATGTAGAAAGGCAAAGCTGCCAGCAGAACCCACAGACCAACTCAAACATAACTATAGCTAGATCTGCAGGGAGCGATTAAGCAGACAGACTGATAAAACCAGATTTTATAATACTGATGCATTTAGGATACCTTTCACCAGAAGCTTTCCAGCATGTCCATAATACGTACCTTTATACTCTCCCAGTTTTCCAGCTGCTTATTGAAGAGGTGCCGAATCTGATCGATGGAAGAGCTGAGCTTCTGCTTGTGCTCTTTTAAAAGACTATCAACTGCCAACTGTGAGACATGAGGGAGTTGCTCCTCAAACAACTTCAACTGATCCCGAAATTCTTTTTGGAAAAGGCAGAGATATGTGTGTGATACAGAAGTACTCATTGTAAGGAAACAAAACTCTTAGTTCTTTGCCAAATTTTCCATAAAATCAACAGGAGTTCTGTCACTGAGTGTGAATCCTTATCACTGCAATTTTCCTTCATGTTTACACAGGACTTTGCTCTAGGAATTTACCTATTAGACAGGAATTATAGTAGTTTTCTGTTTGACTTTGGTATGAAAACAGTTTCTGTCTGAGCCGTTCGGCACACTGTTCAAATGTCTCAGGCAGATCTTCAGGAATTGTGATTTGATGCTTATCTTTTCGGTAGAACTCCTTTGGAAGGCAAAGACAAAACAGGAAGGGTTAGTAACACATCCAAACAAGTCACATCTAGACATGTAGCAGGAGCAGAGATGTTGAAGGCTGTCAACCACTCTCCTATTTAAGGCCACTTGTCTTCCTTGCCCTGTGCCCTATCAGCAGCTTTTATCTTCATGCCCATTTGATATTTGAATGAGTACTAGTTTTTGAGATTGCAGTGCAGCTTAATTACCAACTCTGCAAAGATTCTATCCATCTTCCCACTGTATTGCTTTTAGCTTTGGTGATATGTATTAAAATATTAGTTATTAAGATTATACTGTAATCTAGCAAGTCCCAACATGTAACAGCTTGATTAGCGATGCTTGCAACAACACTTCAGCACATCTATGGATATTTGGAAAGTCTGTAGGCACATGTCACTCCTCCACGCTGTCTCAGTCTGACATTCTCTTTTGCTGCCATTAGAATGAATAATATTGAAACTGTCTTGGCTTTGCAGTCTTTCTGCTATAAAACTAAGTGTGGATGTCCATGTTTGTCCACATACATTAGGTTGCCCGAGACTCTAAAATTCTTATTTAATACTTACAAAGAAATCTGTGTTTAAAATTACACCCAAATATTATTGGAAAAAAAATAGATGGACACAAAGAAAGGAAACTTTTGGAAGGCTATCCAAATGTTGTAGCACAAACAAATTAAGAGTAGAACTGTGGCAGCAAAATGACCAAAGAACTTTGAGTTTTCTTACCTCAGCAAGAGAGAGCAAGCTGTCACTACCTGCCCAGAGAAGACTGTTAATAATCCCCTTAAAAGTACTGAAAACAAGCAAAATGAGAGAGAATCACACAGTAAAAAAATCACACTGGCAATATTTACTATTTTTCAAACACTGTGTTTTTTAATTATAGTTTGGTTTTTAATTGTATTTTAATGTATATTTTTCAGAATATGCAAGCAAATGTTCCTAGTATACATGAAATTTCATCTCCCCTAGCACAGATTTCTGCTCAGGGGAGGCAGGCTCTGAGCTTACCAGGGGCAAAAAGGCAATCTTGGCCAAGTTCTTGTGCTGCAGGTTCACATTAAGAGCTTACTCTGCATTTTAAATAAATGAAAAGTATTTGAAGGTGTGTCTAGTTGCTCATTGGACATATACTAAAACTCAACACTGAGTCAAATTCCCAAGTATTTAAACATCTTAGACATTCATCATAATATATTTGTGTGGCACCTATGTAATACCCAAATTCTGTACAGTGTAACTGCACACATCAAGCAAGAATAACAAAAGCTCTTAAAAAGAACAGAACCATTTAAGAATCATTTCCTAAACAATCTGCTCCTAGTTTAGCTCCATACATGTAATATTGAGCACACAAATACAAAATTTAAACTTTTAACAGATGAAAATTATTAGAAGACTAGATATGTTACATTTTCCAGATGATTTTTAGTAAATGCACAGAACTGTAGATATTCTAGTGAGCTCACTTATTGCAGATATTAAATAAAAAGGATGATTTTTTTATTTTAAATATGCTACAAAATAAACTAATCTTTAAATATTTTTAATGATAAAAATCAGAATTAAGTACCTCATAAATGGTAAGAGATTTATGTAGTTCACCATCATAAATAAGTAAATAGATAAATAAATAGATAGTTATTTTTGTAAGAGATAAAATTTTGGTTTCAATAAATATACAAGGCTTACTCAGATTCTGGAGGCTTCTCTCCAAATATAGAGAATCTCTTGTCAGTACGGCCTGCTCTGTTGTATTTCTGCATGCTAAGAAGTCAAAACATAAATTTGAAAGTATTAACATATCTTTTGCTTCCTGGGCCAGTTATTTGAGCTAGTGAGTCACATAAAGGACATGAAACTTAAGAAAACTAATAAAAAGGTAACTCAAAAAACAAACATTACAAGAAAATATTTTTTATAGAAATTTTTCTAGAGACACTCTCTTCAATGGCTTTTTAAGAGCAGGCAGAGCTGAGAAATTTCTGCATAGGAATGAGACACGTGGAATTTCTCTTTCAATGGTCTTACCTTCCTGTTGATACCCTTCTGTTAAAAGATGATGACTTTTTAGTGCTCAGAGCTGGGTAATTGTAAGCGGCGTTCTGGGGACCTTCACCAGGCACATTTAAGTAAGAAATCTTCTTTGATGTGGGAAGAATTGCTTTATAGTTAAAAAGAGAAGAACACTGAAAAATGTCACCCAAAGGCTTTTTTTCTACATTTGTATAGAATGAATGTATAGAACTTGCATTCTCATTTCAATCATGTCTTCTCACAACACTGTGGGGGACAACAGCAGGAACAATGTCTAGCAGATAGAGCTGGAAGAATCCAGCAGCAAGAGGGATAAAGGCAGGGACCGAGTGTGTGAAGAAAGGACTGTGATACAGAACACAGGGTGAGTGGGAGGTGCTTAAAACAAGAGCAAGGCAGGGAATGAGCAAGAGGATGAGTGGCCACATCCATAGCCTTGAATGTGAGTCTTGGCTTTGTAACAGGGACATAGAGGATACTTTTGGAATTGGCTGGGGGATGCGGACTCTGAGCATGAGTGATGAGGAAATGGGAATACCAGGTAAAAAGCAGCTGGGGCTACCACTGCATCCCACCTTTGGGTCAATGATAAAACGCTGCTAGAAATATCTCTGAACCCCAACTTTTCTTTCCATTCTTTCCCCTCCAAACCCCTTTTCCTTTTGCTATCAAAATACGGGTGCACCTTGTACGAAAATCATTACCACAGCCTGCAGCTTTCCTTGGTTTAGAGTCAGAGATCATCTGGATCATCGCAAAAAAAAAGATAATCAAGCAAATAGTTAGGCTAACAACCCGCTTGGAGCAGTAAAAGGCACTGCTCTGAGGCAAGCCAGACTCACTCAGTGACACACTAAGAGCTGCAATCTACATGAATATAACATATTGAAAGAGCTGCTGACATACCTAGTGCTAATGAGTTTGAAGCCTCATTCCTCTCCGGATTTGAGACTGAGGATTTTCGGGATGGCTGAATTCTGAAAGAAAAGTGGGTTTTGAATAGCTTGCTACAAGTTCTCTAACCCTACAACGTGCTAACGAAGCTCAATTTTTATGATAATGCTCAACAGAGAGGATTCAGGTGTTATTGATGGCTTAACAGGAACTTAGGTGCTTTTATGAGCATATCTGTGCATTAAAATCCTTATTTGCAAGTTACTTGCTTATTATGTGCTTTGTATGTCCATTCACACACATTCACCACTATGTAGCATGTAATCATCTTTTAATTAAAATAATACACTAGAAGGCAAACATTTAATTCCTACATAACATGTAATTTATATATCTTTAACCTTCATTAGTCATAGCAAAACAATGTGGCATTTTTTGACAATGAGGGGAGGGAAAATAAAAAAAAAATAAAGGCTGACCACAAAGTATGTAGCAGTAGTAGTATTACATGCAAATAATATATACACAATAGTTCTGTACAGACAAAGGTAAACAAGAAAATTTACATTTGGAAATCTTTGATCTGCCTCTGGAATAAAAATTTTAAGAAGTGCCACAGGGAAGCCCCATGCCATTCCATTGTGAGCCTCATGAGGAGAAAGGGCATATAAAGTAACGAAAAATATAAATGAAGACAATGACAGAAAAATACCTTCAGGCAAACCAGTACTTACTCAAGTAAACTTTTGATAATGCTTATTGATACATCTTCAATTGCAGACTTTCCCATTCTGCTTGGATTTAACACAGGAAATTTAACGGGATCCAACCCCATCACCATCACGTTGCTCTCGGCTCTCAGAGACTCTGTTCGAATGTTAACGGCACTTGGGGCCTGTAACGTAACCTCTGTGGCAGAGGAGGAAACGTCGTCCTGGAACGGTCAGAAAATAAAAGCCTCCTGACTGCAGAATGTATTAGTGACAGTATTCCTTGCAGTTATTACTAAAATAAATAGTTATTACTACTATTACCAAAGCAGATCATCCAAATAGCCACTATTTGCTCCAAAGAGTTGAAGAAAGAGTTTTATAATTTTAATAATATGATGTTACTACAGCTAACAGCACTGTTATAATTGTACAATTCAGCCATTTAGAAGCAGTTACATTTTCACTCTGCAGTTATCTAAGAGTTAATAGTTTGGCTAAGAATGAGGGTTTGTCATAATAATCATAAGCAATATTTAAATATATACCTGTAAAACCTATGATCTACAGTGGATTACAAAATAAAAACAGACCTTCCATGCTTGGAAGGAAAAAATATACTTGATACAAAACCTGTCATTCTGTCCTATCAGAAATTTAATACAATATAGGGAACTTGGATATTATCTTACATTGTCATAAAGGCTGGTTACATTTACTAGCAAGCAATCAAGATACTGGCTCCTCTTTTTCAGTTCTTTCAACACTTTTCTGGAAAAATCATACAACTCTTCTGAAGTCAGAGCCTTAAAAATATAATAATATAAATGGTATTTACTAAATTAGACAGAGATTTCCTACTTTTAAAATATATTGACTATATAATTCATTAAAATTTATATTGCATATATAGAATATATTATATAAAATGTTGCATCCAAAACAGTTTTGTCACCATTTTGCCTACACATACATGGAAGCAGTAAGACTTATCTACTGTTGGGAGAAATTGAAATTTTTGTTTTCAAATATAATCACAAATGCAAATATCCTTGAAATATCCTTGCTCAAAGCTGGAAAGGAGAGAGTGACTCTGGTGCATATCCATGCAACTTTAACAGTAGCACTCACACTTGGAGGGGTTTTTTCTAAAAAAAAGTGTTTTTTTTTTTTTTTTTTTTTTTTTTTTGTAATGTGCACAGATAGAGACTTGCTTATGAGGAAGGGTAAAATTGAGCATACAAGCCCTGACCTCCAGAGACATGTTTCGTGTCTGTTGATATCCATCCTATATAGCAACTGTTATTTTATCTGATATGTTGTTAAGAATCTGCCTTAAAAATACCAATTACTTATTTTAAATGCCACATATGAAGACTGCCTGATAAACACGGGGGCATCACAAGTATTACGCAGCTTTCTGGATTTACAGACGAACAAACAAAAAATACTATATAAAATCTATGGCATTGTATTTTTTTTTATTTTATTTTCAAACCAGTAATGTACTTCTCTTTATGACCCCTGTTTTGGGTAGAGATGGTAAAAGATTGCTCTTGATTATAACCCATCATGTCAGTTTGCCTACCTGGCCCCTGGTGGGTGCTTCCCAAACGATACAAATGTGCACAGTGAGTCACATGTAAACCAGCTAGAACTTACTTCTTTATCTGCAGTAGGATGAGCACAAGCATCTATTTTCTGATGGAGCTTCTCCAGACTAGAGTTCAATGTCACTGCCTGCACGTTAGAATTCGCAACCTAGAGCAGAGGCAGATACTGGTGAAATGAAAATCCATCCAAATTCAATGAGCTCTGCAATAGCTATAGAAATGTCAGTGTTTCTGCAAAAGCGAGTCGTCAAAGGAGGTCTGCATCCTCACAGAGGATATGCTTATTTGAGCATGTACTCCACTTCCTTAATGTGCTGCAAGACCATGTTGTTCTAGCATAGCTGCCACAGTAGCAAGACGACAGTTTTAAGTGAATAATTACAGAAAACTTGAATAAACAGAAAAAGTCACTTAACATTTGTCCTCTCTGAATTCAACCATAAATCTCTAATTAAAGAATTATACAGAGGAATGATTAAAGTTCAATTGAACAAAGTTCTAGTGCTTCTGTTCGTACCTCTGACTTGATTTTCACTTGTAGATTTGTCAGAAATCGTTGGATCTTTTCCATAAAGGCTCGATCCATAGAAAGATAACGGAATTTTGTCTCAGACTGGCTGATAATTTCAGTAGCCTTTAAAAAACGCCAGAAAGAAAAGAGACAGAAGTGATTATTTTTCACTCTTTTTCTGTTTTAATAATATAATTCACCATCTTGTTGTATTTTTTCATCACATATTTATTATACAAAATTAACTAGAACTGCTTTACAGTCCCATCTGGGAATAGGCTGTGCTGTCACATTAAATCTGTCAATATCATACATAATTTGAAAGAATGAAGCACTGCACACCTGCTCAAAGTAGTCAGATTCCATTTTTTCCATATCAACCATGACTGAACCTTCAAAAGAGTCAATACGTTCACATTCTTTCTGAAGACGCTTGCAGAAAAATTGCATCTCTTCAGGAGAAAAGTTACCTCCCTCTGAAAATAATCTTAAAAAAAAAAAAAAAGGCAAAGAAAAGAGCAGTTGGCTAGAAGTCTTCCTTTCCTCAAAGACTATTTTAGTTATTACAGAGATATCCATATGAAACTGAAGGAAACAGCATTAACTGCAGCTTTGAGGTTTAAGAGCTTTTATTTATTATATTGACCAGCTGAATAACAACATAAAATTTAATTTTACTGTTCTGTTTATGCAATAAAGGCTCATAACCAGAAACAGTTAACTGTATTTATAAACATCCCGTGAATAGAATATCTATACCTGCAAGTTTTGAGAAAATCCACATTCGAATCTCGTAATTTTCCCAAAGATTCCTCCAAATAGTTCCGGTAGCTTCTCAGGGAAATCTGGATGTTTTCCAGATGATTAAGCAGCTCCGAGTGAAGACTTTCAGTGAAAGAAACCAACCTAACAGCAAGCGTTAAAAGACAGAGAAAAGGTACAAGTAGAAGAGCATACATTATGGTTCCAAGGCTGCTGCTGCTAAGGACATGAACAGTACCTGAAAACCCAGTGAAATTGAACTGGGACTGCAACACCCAGAAGACACTGGAAGGCAGCAGATGCTATTGAAAAAATGTTCCTCAAAACTATTTAGGCAATTGCTATTACTGTGAAGGCAAGTTCAGGACACAGTTTTCAGTGAATAACAGCACAGATAAAGCAAACTCAGAAGGCAAAATAGGAACAAGAGAAATCTCAGGTATCAATCACGGGAGTCTAACTACACAAATTCCCAGCTAACAAGAGCTGTAACACACTCACTTCTCAGTCTTAGCAGCACCAATCAGGGCAGACCCCATGTCACGGACCCGTGTGCAGAAGTCTTTGCTGATTGTATTTTGCTGCTCACGAAGCCTGGAAAACTCGGCTTTCTCCTTGCTCAGAGCTTCCACCACCCCTGCACAGTGACACTCCAGACGCTCCTTGTGAAGCGATAGTTCCGCTGGTAAGAAAACAACTCTTACAGTATGGTCAATACCTCCCGTAGGCTACCACAGTCACAAGTGAACCTATTAGCAGAAGCAAGGGGGAAACAAAGCCAAGCCAAGCCACATCTCAGAGGAGCTTAAAAATACAATAAAGAACATGATTCTTTGTTTCTTTCTTTCATTTTTGATTATATCAGATCAAGTTGCAAATATCTTTTCCTTCATCCCAGTAACTTTAATTATTTTTCTTCCTCAAAAGAACTTGACAGTTTTCAAGAAAGAATTATCATTTGTGGCCAATATATGACTCTTCAACGATATTTTATACAGCTAGGTCCTTCCTCTCCTATACAGGAGGCAAGTGTTGGTACTTTATCTCTCCCAAACTTGCTAATTCTTTTTCTGTAACACTACTAAAATTTTCTACCATGACAGACTATTGTTAAAAAAAGCAGGTACCAGCTCTAACATTGTAGATATTTGTCTTTATGTGCTGCTGCCTTGACTGATGCAAGTGAAGGTGCAAATTAAGTTCTGATTTCAGCTCCTCTCTCTTAGCATCCACAATGACAGAAGAGTTGGATAAGGACTGTGTAAACCACTTCTCCAAGTGCTCAAAAAAGCAGAGGCGAATCCTATGATTGAAAAAGAAATTATTACAGTGAGGAACAGTCAGCACAGTAGAATATTATAACACAGACACAAGTTTTAATTTTACAAATGTATAAACTCAAAGCTCTAAATAAATAAATCAAGCTTTAAGAATTTAACTACTGACCAACGGAAAATAGATTTTGTTACTGTTTACACAGTACTGGTGCTATTACTCTGGTCAACTAAGACTATAAATAATCTTAGCATGACCAATTAAAATTTCCTTTCTTCTTTAAACTGACTTGAATTAAGGCATCTTGCAATATTTATCTGAAGTTCTTTTCCTGTTCTGCAGTAGTGCACGCTGAGAAAAAAATTACTAATAATCTTAGCATGACCAATTAAAATTTTCTTTCTTCTTTACACTGTCTTGAATTAAGGCATCTTGCAATATTTCTCTGAAGTTCTCTTCCTGTTCTGCAGTAGTGAAGGCTGAGAAAAAAATTACTGAAGACCAGAGAGTTTTTGAGCTTGGAGAATTCTACTGAGTGCCAGACACTTTATCTTCATTGTTCTGCTGCGAATTTGGACAAATTTCTTTCTTTCCTGTACCTGGTTTTCTTTGTAAATATTACTTGTTTGTTAGGTACTTAGAAAGCCATGGGTGAAAAGCAATATTGAAAATTTCTCTTATTTTTACTGATTTAAGAAAGGAATTATATCAGAAATTTCGATTAGTTTTTGGATGCTTATTCATACTTTTTTTTTCTTTCGAATATCCACAATTTACCTACTACCTAATGATAAAAAAAAAAAAAAGAAAACTGTTTTCTACTAACCATCGTTTAAGCTCTGCAAACACAGTTTCTTTTATAAGGACATGTTTCAGGTATGCAGGAAGGGATTCTTCTCCTTGTTCGTATTTAGTGAAGTAATTCTCTGGGATACTGGTCTTTCCTGACTCTTCAACTCCCAAAACTGTGTAAGTGTTTCCACCAGCAGTGGAAAAGATCTCAACAGCAAATTCAGAGCTTTCCACCTCGTCACTCTTGATCATATCCTAGGAAATAATTAGGAATAATCTATTATCTTTAAAACTGCTATGTTTATTTATAGACTTCAGTTGTCCATAAACAGGATCTAAAGTCCTATTTGCCCAGGAAATATATTAAACAATAAAGACTGATGTGCACTGTTTGTACAAACTAAGTCTGATCTACTTTAGAGAATGTAGACTACCTCAGTCTGATGGAGCCTTCCCATTCCATCATGATCTTCTGCAGGACTTCCTTCCCCTTCACATTTGTTCTCTTCTTCACCTTCTTGTGGAAAGTTTACCTCCTGCCCTGTCTCATCAGTTTCTTCACTTTCATGAGGAATACTCTCCCCATCCTCTTGTTTCTCTGTTTCTTCAGTTTCTTGTGCAAACATGTCCTCATTCTCAGGTGTATGTGTTTCTTTATTCTCCTGTTGAATATCAGTCTTTTCCTTTTCCTCTTCATATTCTCGCACAGGGCTCTCAGTTTGCTGCTCCACCATATTTTCAGCTTCTGAAATCTCAACTAATTCTTCCCAGTTAAAACAAAGTTTATTGGTCATAATACAAAGAAATACATTAAAAAAACAAGATTAAAAAACAAGAAAGCAGAAAAAGAAATCTATTTGTGCCATTGAGATATTACCTTGCTCTTGAAAAGTCGTTTCTATCTTTCCTCGCAAGGTCTAGCAGGGAAAAAACAAACAAAAACAAGTTCTAAAATTTAAAAATAAGAATTGGCTTCCTTAGAATGATAAATTCACATCCCTTCTCAAATTACATCTACTTCAGAAAGATAGTCTAGTCCTGAATGGATCATTTATCTTTTAATTGAACTAATAATAAATGAACTAACCATAATATTGAAATTAATTAATTTTGTTCCTTTTCACTTTTCTGTTAATTTGCTGAAATGTACTTTACAACAACTGCAAAGTGTAGAATCCAGAAACGTTTTGTTTGCCCCTGCCTTCCTCATCCCACCAAGCAGAAGCACTTCAATCCAAAACAAATTTTCATTTTTTTAATCTGAGTTTCAGCAAAGGTGTAGATTCCCAAAAGTGAAAAATAAATACAGCAGTAAGATTTTAAAACACACGTAGTTTGTTTTCTTTATACCTGTTTAAAGATTTCTTTTACATTAAAATATTGGCTGATGGATTCACTATAGGAAATCAACTCCTGCAAAACAGCTTCTGGGTAAGCCATAACTTTATCCATTAGAGCACGGTGGAATGTCTCATACCTGTCAAATACAAGGCGACTATTTAAGAGACTTAATTATGTGTAGAAACAAAATAAAACGTAATTATTATGTCTTTAAGTCCAAATTTAACTTTTCCACTTATTTCATATTTTGTTTGGGCTGAAAGCGATCATCATACTGTATCTGTTAAGCCTGAACACATTGGGTTCTGGGAATTATTTTATTATAGATACACAAGTATACAAAATAATATGTTCTACAAAAAAGGCTTTCGGATCTTTCATTCTGGATGAGAAGCCATTCGTGACCTGTGCTTACCTAAGAAATACTAGTAACAAGCATCAAACTAACATCTTTCAGTTTAGTTCTGTATCAGGCTCAGCTATGAGTGAAGCTTTGCTGATTTAGTTTGTACTCAGAAATGAAAACTAATGATTCAAGTTCACTCTTAGTCCAAGAAAAACCAACTCATCTTCACCTAGATTTAGATCTGGTTTGTCTCCTGTATTATGGAAATTAAGGGCAACTTACATATGTGCTCAAATGTTCAGAGAGATGATGTTCCATCTCTGCATCCCCTCACTACGGTCTCACTCGCATAAAAGGTACTTGCTCACTTTTTTTTTTTTTAATGGTTTTAATGAACAGGAAGAGTATTGAACCAACAGCTCTAAAAGCTGCCATTTCATATTTATATGAAATATTCATATACCATACGATATGGTATCATATCTGATCAAAAGAGAAGCCTACCTACATATAAAAATGTAACTTATTTTCTGGCTCTTAAATCTTCAAACCTTCTGCTACAGTCTTCAACAAGATTTGTACGTGTCAATTTACATGTGTTTTTTTTTAAGATGCTAATTCTTGATAATGAGAATCAGAACAGAAAGATTACCAAAATATATACTTAGGCTATCTGAAAGTTATTAAAAACATTGAGTCCCTGCCACCCTGAAGCAGATCAAACTTGCAAACCCAGAGCAGAGCTGATGGCAGAGGTTTTCACTCCTTTACGCCGCAGCACAAAAACAACTTAAATATTACTACTATCTTTTGAATATGTTTTACTTGGCAAGTTTGCACTACAATATTCATACCCAGCTCCAATATCATCCAAAGAAGAAACAGCTTTCTCCAAATATCTCTTTAGCTTTTCTTCAGAGCTTGCTGTTCTCATTTTATCCAAAGCTATATCCAGATTAGTTTCTGTCATCTAAGACCATGTAAGGAATAAGAAAAAGGAAAAAGAAATTGTTAATTTCTAAAGTTATTCAAAACTATTTAGGATTCAAATAATTTCACAATGAAGGCGGCTTTACAAACAGCATATAGAACTATATTAACAGGGCTATTTTCAAGGCATTTAATGCATGACCTATGATAGATGATTCCTAAATATGAATCAATAATTTATCTAAAAAAAAGTATCTGGCAGAACAAAATTACCTTGTAATAATATCAGTATAAGTCCTAATAATTACCCTTCATTTTTTACCTGCTATAAAGTAGGTACTTTGAATTCCAAAGGCCTCTTACATAAGAGTCCTTTCTTTATGTCATACCGTATTCTTATGTTTTTACCTGTATGAAGTTATCCTGTCTCCATCTGCATTCATCTAACTTTTGTTTAAGTTCATCTTCTTGGTAGAAGAGTTTGAGTTGATGGACATCCCAGAGGACGATGGCGTCCTGAAAATAACTGTACAAGTCTCTACAATTTTGTTCATTCTGCTTAGCCAGCTCCTTCAAATCTCTCTAAAGCAAAACAGTTAAATGAACCAGTAACTATTAAAATATTTGCTAGAAGATAAAATGAATGAATAAGGGGATATCTGGCATAATAAAAGACTGCCTGAAGGTAGACCACTAACATTTAGCATAATCTCTTTCAGTTGAACAGGAACAAAAATAGCCCAACTGGATTTTTTTTTTGCAAATGAATGAATAAGGGGATATCTGGCATAATAAAAGACTGCCTGAAGGTAGACCACTAATATTTAGCATAATCTCTTTCAGTTGAATAGGAACAAAAATAGCCCAACTAAACTGGATATTTTTTTTTTCTCTAAAAGTTGAGGTACCAAACTTTCTGCTTATTCTTCTGGTACTGTAAAACAAAGAATCACCAAAAGTTGCATAAGCCCTGAAAGATGTGGCTATCTAGCATTTTAAGAACACCTGTCTCTCTGTTTTTATATTTAAAAATCACAAAAAAATTGTATTGGAAGTAATTTGGGAACTGTTCAAACCTATCCCTCTGTCTCCAGGCAGAATGAACTTTACCTAAGTCACCCGACAAGCTACTATAAATATGAAACCAGTAATTGCAGACTTCCTGAACCACAGCAGAGTGAGTTTGCTTGCTTGTTTCTAAAACTGATGGGAGAGATATCCAATCATCCCATGGATCTATCCCTAAGATGACAGCGGAAGCCTCAGATGAATATGACATGTCACAAAGAAGAACACGCCCAGGATAACAAGGACAGGTGTAATAATCATACATCCATGTGATCCAGTTCCTCTTCAAAGTGGCTTTGTAATTTTTCAGTCAACTGAAGCAAGTCAGAATTCACAATTTCTTCAGCCTCCTCTTTTGTGCAAGCTTTCATTTTCAACAGTTTGTTCTGAATGAAAAGAATGGTAAGTTATTGACACATATATAATGTAAACCATCATGTGGCTTTTACAGAGTGTGGTTAAACTCAGTATTTCTTCCTAAATAAGGTGGGATGTAGATCACACATGTATAAACTGTAGAGCTGCTATATTCATCCTATAATAGCAGGCTGAAGCTCTGATGTTTTACTTCAGCACACATTAATTTCATAAACCTGGTGTTGACTGTTAGTGAAATTGTTCTTCCTACAGCTTCACTCTCCATTTTTCTTAAAATATTTCACAGAGAAATTCAGCCCCCAGATCTCCCATTCTGATAGTAAACAGTATGAATCTACTTGCACACAAAGAGAAACTGAGGCAAAGAGGTAGAATTTCTTGCCCAAGATTGGTCAGACTCGGCAGAAATGCTGAAAGTTTTAACCTTGAGTCTTCTACTTAAATGTAGGGCAGCACCCTGGTTAATACTAGTCGTTGTTACTCAGTTTTCATACATTTCATACACAAATATCACACATTATTACAAAACAAAATACACAGTAGGGTTCTTAATAGAATAAGGGAGAGGTTGAAAAGTTATCTGAGAGTTGGCTGGATCCTCAAACACTACACTGCTATCAAGAATCCTTTCAAGCATTTGCTAAACTATGATACTGACCTTGCACAACTGCACTTCTGCCAAACATTTCTGTTGGACCTTCTCATATTGGGCACGAATTTTCACCAGACACTGCACGTTGTGGGTATCTGAAGGACACAGAACAGAATGTCAGATCCACTGTTAGATTTCGGGATCACAGGACAGTGTGGAACAGAAACATGACACGACCTATGCTGGACCCCAAATCATGCCAGTGAATCTTCAAAATGATGACATTATCAGCCAGCAAAATAAGGCACCTGCAGACAAATCTTTTTATCATTATGCTTAAAGGTAGTGAGTTATTTTTAAGTGCTAGCAACACCTTTGTTGCTATGTAAGCTAAAAAACATTAAGACAATCTCTTTTCTGGAGAGACAGAAGGTAGTCACATACAGAGAGAAGGCATACAGCAAGACTCAGAAAGGAATCATCTCAAATACTGTCCCTCTCATTCTACCAGAGCCGAGTAGAAGCATTTCTCTATGACTAGTGATTTAGATTAAAAAGAACTTTCGTTTTTGTCCCCAGACTAATTGTAACCAGATCAATTACTGCTAGAACTTATCATGTGAAAATACTAGTGCTTGCAAAAGCGAAGCAATGCAATAAAAGCAGCTTATTTTAGTTGTACTGCTAAGCAACTTAGGAGGTATAGAGAAACACACGGAACAATGAACACAGCAAACATTCACAGCAAAGTAAGAGTCACTCCCTGCCTGGAAAAAAAGATCTAGATCTTTTTATTTTTATTTTATTTTATTTTTTTTTTACTATTTCCCTCCTTACCTATGCTTCTGTTTAAATCCACCAACGATTCATACCATTCATTCATCTCGGCTTTCGTGTGTGTAGGAGGCAACAGATGACTATCAAAATATGAAACAAAAGTCAGGGTTTTCAAATATAATTCAGTCAATTCTCAAAGAACAAAACGAAAAATCAGAGTAAACAAGCTACTGTGCTTTATTTTAGTGGTTAGAAGAGAAAGCCGTATCAGAAATGAAAATGCAATGCCTGTTGTTTATCAAGCTACTTTTTAATGACAGGGAACTAGGTGTAATCCAACTAGTTGCTACTATTTTAAAGCAGCAATAGCATAATGAGTTGCACCCATGCTATCTTCTCTTTGTCAGGATGGAGAAAATTAAAATAATGTCTAGACAAGGTCAGTATTTTTCACTTATCCACTCATCCTTGTCTGCCCTTATTTCTAC